TCTTGTCCTCGATGGGCCACGCCTGTCACCCTAGCACACCCTGTGAGATGACCTGCTCCCTGCCTGCACTCCCCAAGGGCAGCCCCCCAGGTGCGGGCTGTGGGCAGGTTCCAGTGGGCATGCCCCCAGGGGTGGGGGCACACCTATCAGCACCTCCCAGTGTCGTGTGCAGACCAGCCCGGACACCTCAGCCTGTCAGTGCAGGTGGGCAGCCGGCGGTGACCTGCTGTGCGGAGAGGGTTGATGGGGTCCGTGAAAGGTGGGCCTACGTGCCCCCGGGTCAGTCAGGCAGGGATGGGTGATTGACAGCAGAGCCCTGGGACGTGTGGGCGGGGCGTGGGGTGCAGGCGGGGAGCCCCTGAGACCATGGTGGCCCCGGAGGCGCCCCCTCAGCTCTGCCGCCCCAGCAGAGCCCCTGCCAGGGTGAGGCAGTTGTTTGCACAGCCCTGGAGGCCGGAGGGCGGAGGTCAGGGAACGGAGGGTGGGGCTCGGGTGCGGCCCCTCCCTGGGGTGCAGCCCCTCGCTCCCTTGTCTCTCTCTTCTGAGGGCTCTGGTTCCAGCGGGGGTGGGCGCCCTCGTGACCTTGCTGCACCCGAGTCACCCCCACACACCCCAACTCCTGACACCATTGCACGGGGGACAGGGCTTCAGCCTGAGTTTGGGGGTGCAGGTTCAGCCCATAGCAGCAGGTGTGGTGGGAAAAAAGACCGGCCCCCGGGTTCCTTGACTGCCCCAGGGTGGGCTGGCGTCAGGGGTGGAGGGCAGCAAGGCTGGGGCCCCGTGGTTCCGAGGGGCAGCAGGTCTGCAGTGTGGCTGCGGAGGAAGGTCAGGGTCCCGGGTGTGGAGCAGAGAGAAGGGGGCACAGATCTTGGAGGGCGGGGGGGGGGAGTGGTCGAGTGACCCGCCATCCGCCCGAGGGCCCGGGAGTCGGGCGCCACCCCTGGAGGGCACCGTGTGGGCACCCGTGGCCGCAGCGGCCGGGCCCCACGTCCGAGTGCAGCGGCAGCCGGCACAGGGAGCCCCTGGCGGCGGCTCAGACGGCAGCGCGGGGGTGGGCGCTCGCTGTCTCCGGAGAAGGTCTCTGACAACAGGGCGCGCGGGCGGCCACGCAGCACGTCAGCGTCGGAGCGTGGGCCCCAGAGGTTCCTCGTGGGGAGCGAGCTCAGAGGAGAAGAAAATGGGGGAAATTTTTAAAAATTGAAAAAATAATTAAAACGTACAAGAAGAGAAGGAAGAGCGAGTCCAGCCCCGGTCTGGACCCGCCGGCTGACCCTGGGCCTGGGGGCGCCCACTCGCCCGGGTGCGGGTGACCTCCCGGCCGGGTCCCTCCACCCCACGTGCTCCCCCTGCCCTTTCCCTGACCGGAGCGAAGCGTCCCGCCAGCCGGGAGCCCTCCGTCCGCTGCTGGGGGGGGGGGCCCTCCTCCATCCCTCCCCCACCCCACCCCCGCCCCGCCCGGGCGGGTGGGAGTGGCCACGAGGGAGCCACGTGGCTGGGCCGTTGGCCTTCTCCCCGATTCCAGCTCCTCCCGCCTGCAGACGCCTTCGGACGTGGTGGCAGCGTGCAGCCCGAGCACACGTCTGCGTTGCAGCTCAGACGTGTCGTCGTCTTGCCCCGGCACCGACCCCTCCGTCCCCCTTCGGCCTTGGTCCGGCGTTCTTACTCTGCGCCCCTTCTGTTGCCTTGGCTAAGTGGTGCTATGGAGCACACGCATTTTAACGTGTTCTGGCTCCCTTAGAAATGTTAAGACGCTCTCGGGGTGCACCTTCGATTCTTACTTTGCCGACTCCCAGGCGTGGCCAGCACCCGCCAGCACGACGACTGTTCCCCGCCCCTTAATGGTTTCCTTGCGGTCACCGCCCGCGTCAATCCTGCCCCCGCGGCCCTCGGTACCGCTGACCAACGTCCACGCAGGGCGCCCCCTGGTGCCTCGTCCTCGCTGCGCGACCCGCTGCCCGGGCACGGCCGCGGCCTCTCGTACGCGGGTGGGGTCTGCCCGGCCGCCCGGGTCTGGGGGCGACGGCTTCGTCCCCTCTGGCCGCGCCCCGTTCACGCCACCTCGCTCGCCCGTTCTCCCCTGCGCCCACCTCTGGGCCCCTCCTGCCGCTGGCTCCGGTCTGGTCTGCGCTCCAATCTGCCTCTTGAATTATTAATTCCAGTTATCGTACTTTTCACACTCAGGGTTTCTACGGCCCTGGGACGTTCAGACTCTGATTCTTTTTTTTTCCTGCACGCAGCTCCCTGGCGATGCTCTGTGTCTCACAACAGGCCCCTCGCGAGCCCACCTCTGCTGAGTGTTTCTCGGCCGCCTGGCAGTTTCTGATCGGATGTCAGACGCTGTGTGTGGCACTGCAGGACCCGAACGCGGTGACTTTCTCGTGAGAAGTCGTGGTTTTGTCCTGGCAGGCGGCAGGTGGTCAGTGCCCTGAGCACTGCATGGCGGCCCTGGGGACACACCCCTGCCCCGGCATCTCCCCCTGTCCTGACCCCCGTGCCTGGTCAGTGAGGCCCGGATGCCAGGGTCCCGTCGTGCGCAGCTGCTCCCTCTGCGTGTCCCCCGGCGTGGGGCCTGGGAGCCGTGGTCCCATCCCGTGGTGGGGTGGGGGGTGCAGCAGGAGCACTCTCGTCTGTGTGTGTGTGTGTGTGTGTGTGTGTGTGTGAGCGAGGCCGTGGGGGGGCCTCCACGCAGGGTGGGGCTGCGGTCGGTGTGAACGGAGGCGGCACAACGGAGCGCGGGGAAGTCGGGACACGTTTCTGCCCGGAGTCTGGTTGGTCGGCCGTTTCACCAGGACTCGATTCGTGCCGTGACGAGTTGGCTTCTCTGGTAAAAATTATTAGGAAGCCGAGCTGTTACAAGTAGCCCCCCCCTCTGAAAGCGTCCGGTGGGATGGGTTTTCCTGGTTACTGACGGTACTGGGGCTGGTCCCCCCACCCCCCCGCGCCCCACGCCGGGCCCCTCGGGCAGTCCCCATGGTGGGGCGACCAGCACGTCGTGGCCCCAGGTGCGTGGCCTTCTTCGTCGTCACTGCTCTCGATCATGTGTCTGCCCAGAACGAGCTGGCGTCGCGCCGCACCCTGTGGCCACCTGGCGAGAGAGACGGGCGGCCCCGCCCTCCCAGGTGCAGAGTCAGTGGGCGCCGCGCCCCAGGAGGAAGCCGGCACCTGCGTCGTGCCCCCTGGTACGGCAGGACTGGGCTGGACGGGTCACCGGCGCGGGCCTGTTTCCGGGGAACGGGGAGGGGCCTTGACTGCCGTCCAGAGGACGGCACGGCCACGTGCGCCCCCAGATCCAGGGGGTGCACGGTTCGCTCTCAGCCTGTTGCTCCCGGCTCAGCCTTTTAAGTGTATTTTCTTCGCCTTGTCAGAGCCGTCGAGATGCCAGATCGCCATGGAAACGGCTGGTTAAAACTCCCCGCAGCGTCCTAATTATAGAGTCTCAGCCGAGCAGAGCGCCGCGTTTGTGGGCCGCGGAGCGGAGGCCGGGAGGGAAGCCGGCGCCCACGGCCGTCGGGGCCGCCGGGCCTCTGTGGGCCCCGCGTGGAGAGTCCAGTCCGGCCGGGGCCAGTGGGCTTGGGCCCTGGGGCAGCCCCACTCCGGAGCGACCCACGGGGCCCAGGGGGACCCCGAGGAGCGTGTGCGCCGGGCAAGGCCGAGCCCCCAGGGCTGAGGCTGAGTGGTTCTGCCCCTCGTCCCGGCGCCTGGGGACCTGTCCCACTCACGTGTCCCTTCCCAGAGAGCAGTGCAGTGGGCAGGTGGACACCGCTGGGCAGCAGCCCCCTGGCCGGCCCACCCTCCCCCAGGGCACCTGCCCCTCAGAAGGGCCCCTCCTCTCTCGCCGTGGCCGTCACTTCGAGGGGGAGGGGGCTGCGGCTTTCCCGGCAGAAGCCCGGACACCAGGCCAGTGACCGCTGCTGGGCGGACGGCTCAGCAGGCGGGGGCCCCTGAGCAGGCGGGGGCCCCGCCCTGTTGGGGGGCGTGTGGTCTCCCCAGAGCTCGGGCTCGGGAGGCAGGGGCCTGTCGGCTGTGTCGGGGTGGCCCTGTGCCGGGGGTCTTCTAGGCAGGAGTCCGACGCCCAGCCAGAGGGCGGTGGTCAGCACAGCCCGGACCCACTCCCTGCAAACCGCCCGGTGGGCAGAGCCCAGGACGTCGGAGCGGCTGCCCCTGCCCGGAGCAGCCTGGGCAGCCGGGGCGGCCCAGCAGCGTGGGGTCCTGGGCGGCAGGGGGACGAGTTGAGGGGACGGGACTGAAGGGGGACAGAGGTGGTGGTCGTGTCAGGGTCACTCGGTGAGCTGTGACGAGCGTCCGTGGGGGAGCCGGGGCCAGGTCCACGGGGGCCCGGTGTCAGCCACCACCCCCCGGCCCACGGGGTCACGTTTCTGGACCCCTGTGGGTGCCCAAGCCGTGGGGAGCGCCGGCCCCCTGCAGACAGGCCTCCCCGGCGCCTGCACGCCCGAGGGGCAGGCGCGCGCTCGTCAGGCCCGCGAGGGGCCGGGCAGGAACGGGCGGTGAGCTGGGCCGCCGTCACAGCAGTCCCGTGCGGCCGCGCGCCGTGACTGGGTCCCGGCGTCCGGGTCCTGCCGCCGGCCTCGCACAGCCCGGTGCCCGCCGGGGGACGCGCCACTGTCCGTCGGTTCGCGTCTTCCGTCTGTCTTCCACCCACGACCCGACGCCTCTCCCCCCACAACCGGCCCGGGTCACGCCCCGAGGCCGGAGCTCCCGCAGCCGAGGTGGGCGCCCCGGTGTCCCTGGGCCTCTCCCCGGCGGCTTTCAAGGAATCTGAAGCGTGTCCGATGGGCACAGGTCTGGGCTCCGACCCGCCTTGGGCACAGGCGTGTCCCCACCTGGCCAGCTCGACTCCCCTCTCGTCACTGGCTCTGTGTCCCCGTCGCTCTGTGGGGACAGGTCCCAGCCGCCTGGCCAGAAGGCACCTCGTGGGTGGGGCGGGGCCCGGGGCCCAGGGCCTGCGCTGGCTCCTCACGGCTTTCTCGTCTCCCTCACAGAATCCATCTACCGCCGCGGTGCCAGAAGATGGAGGAAGCTGTACCGCGCCAACGGCCATCTCTTCCAAGCCAAGCGCTTTAACAGGGTGAGCGCTGCCCCCTGGGGTGCCGGCCTGTGGCTGCACCGCTGAGTGCATGTGCCGGGTGCTGTGTGCTGAGTGCCGTGTGCCATGTGCTGAGCGGCATGTGCCATGTGCTGAGTGCCATGTGCTGTGTGCCGTGTGCCATGTGCCGGGAGCTGCTGTCAGAGGAAAGAGAAAGGAGGCGAGGGGAGTGGCTGGGCTCCGCTCGGCTCCCACGGGAGAGACCGTGCAGCAGGTTGGAGACGCATCTCCCCGTTACGAAGGAGCCTCTCAAGGCTCCCCGAGCCCGGGGAGCCCCGTGCGGGCCTTTTCCGGGCGGCGCTGCGCGAGGAAGGCAACCTGTGTGTCTGGCTCCCTCAGCCGCCTGTCTCGTGACCCCGGGTCGGGCGCCGCGGCTCTGCAGCCCAGCCCGCTGGCACCCCGAGGTGGGCCCCGGTTCCACGGAGGACACGGGGCCCCACGGTGTGTGCGTGCCTGGGGCTGGTGGGAAAAGCACCCCACACCAGGGGCATGAAAACGGAAGTGCACTCTCGGGGCCTGGAGGCTGGACGTGCAGACCAGGCCCACCCCGGCCTCTGCCCCTGTCCCCACCCCCTTCTCTCCGTGTGTCTGTCTGGTCCCGTCGGGACACGCCAGTCACGGTTCGGGCCCCGCAGCCCAGTCTGACCACGTTCGCACTAACTCCGCCTGCAGAGGTATCCTTGCCCCCAATAAGGCCGCGTTCTGAGACTCTGGGCGGACAGGAATTGGGGGGACCCGTGGGCCTGAGTGCGGCCACCAGCACGCTCTCCTGTGGGCCTGGACACGCGGTCAGCGCCCCCCACCCCCAGCCGCGCCCTATGGTGCCCGGGAAAGGCCCCCGGAGCCCGGCCCCGCGCTGGCTCCCAGGGAGACGCCGTTTTCTGCACGGCTGGTGCCGGGTGCAGCCCACCCGGCGAGGCGGGCGGGGGCCCAGCAGCTCGGACAGCCGGCCGTGCCCCCCAGCAGGTTTCAGGAGGAAAAACCCCTTGGTCTGACTGCAGGGCGCACCCCCCGACCTCCTCCTGCCCCTGCTGCCCCTCCAGCCCCGCACCCCAGCACCGGTGGGCAAGGGTTCTCCTCCCTACGGAGAAGCAGGAGGAGACAGGGGCTTCCCGGTGCCATCGGCCTGGGAGCGGGCACATCGGGGGAGTGCCGGCACACTCCAGCACTGGGAGTCGCCAGGCTGCCCCTCCCCCAGGACAGGCCCCTGCGGCTGCCCCACCCACAGCCCCGCGGGAGCGACGGCCGCCCTCCTCCCTGCAAGGGGGGGTCCTGCCCGTGGAGGGGCCTCGTGCTCCCTGGACCCTCCACTTTGCCCCTCACACGGGACAGGGCCCCACACCCTCCTCGGGGCCGCAGGTGCCCCCAGCTTGGGGGGGGGCCTGAGTAGGGGCCGCTGAGCCCAGGCACAGGCTGGTGCCCGGATGTGACCAGGGCCCGGGCCACCTCTCGCCGCGGCTCCACCCAGGCCTCAGAGAGCGTCTGCCCCGCGGGCCCCTCACCGCTCGGCCGCCCTGTCCCCACAGAGAGCGTACTGCGGCCAGTGCAGCGAGCGGATATGGGGCCTCGCCAGGCAGGGCTACCGGTGTGTCCACTGCCGACTGCTGGTGCATAAGCGCTGCCACGCCCTCGTCCCGCGGACCTGCGAGCGGCCTATGGTGAGTGGGCCCCGGGCCTCTTGTCCCCGGGGGGTCCTGGCCCCACTGATGGGGGGGGTGCCTGTGGGCTGCAGAGGGGCGGCCCTGGCCAGCGGGCTGGGCCAGACCCTCTTCCCCTCGGGGGGCCGGCCCGGTGTGCTGCCCGTCGCCCCCGGCAGCCTGCGACCGTGGCACAGTGCCCGGCCCTTCAGGGTGCTGCTGGCACGCGGGCCCCCACCGGCACGCTGTCCCTGGGGCGGGGGGGGCTGCCCAGTCCAGGTCTCGCCCGGTGCTGCCGGAGCACGGGGGCTCCTCTCGCCCGGGGCGGCCAAGGACGGTAAAGGCACACACACACCCTGGGTCCCCGGGTCCACGGGGCCTCGGAGACGAGGCCAGCCCCGGGGCCCAGCCAGTCGGGCTGAGGGACCCCCGTGCTGGGGCCCCGGTGGCTTCCGAGAGGAAGCTGCCCCCATTGTGACGTCAGCAGGGTGGCCCCGGAGCCGGGAGGTGGGGCTCGGAATCCCGCCTGGCTGCTGGCTGCTGACGGCTGGCGCGGCGGCGGGGGGCTGGGGCGGTGGCCCGGCATGGTGTGAAAGGGCCCGTTTCGTAGCCCCTGCTGGAGCGGTCCCCGCCTGAGGCGCCGAGGGGGAGCCTGCCTGTGGGGCCCCGGGTGACCCCGTGCGGCAAGGGGACAGTCGGCAATGTGCGCCCGGGTGCGTGTGATGGCGTGTGCACAGTGTGCACGCACCAGGGTGCATGCGGCAGCGGGTGCGACCTGGCCGGCGGTTTTCCGGCTCCGGCGCCCCCAGGGGCCGTGCCACAGCCCCTGCCGGCCACTCGGGAGCGCCCGTCTCTCCATAGGATTCTGCCATGCCTTCCCAAGAACCCGCAGCCGACGACAAGGACGACGACGCAGACCTCCCCTCCGAGGAGACCGATGGCGGTGAGGGCCGCCTCCCTCCCGCTGGCCCTGGGGCGCCCGCCCCGCCCCCTCTGACCCCGAGCCCTCCCTGCACTGGCCTGCTCCCCTGGGGCCGGGGCCAGCGCGCGTCCCCTGCCCTCGGCCCTGAGCGGAGGCAGGCAGGTGGGGGCCTTCTCCCGGGCCCAGGTGTCCGTGAGCCGCTGCTGTGGGCGGGGCGGGGTCTCCCCTCTGGGCCGACGGGGTGCCCGGTGCAGCAGCCCCCACACCAGCCCCGCCCCAGATGGGCTGCAGCCCCGCGGCCCCCCGAGGGGACAGGTGCCGGCGGCCGCTGTGCTGAGGCCTGGCCCTTGGGGTTTTGTGGGATTTTTTCTGATGGGAATAGTTTTGGGGTTTTTCCTTTTTTAATGCTAAGAAGCACTTGGGGAGAGATTTTGACGCCCTTGTGACCGAGGGCGCAACCCTGAACCTCGGGCGGGGACAGGGCGTGCGGGAGTCCCTCCCTGACCTGGCGAGCGCGTGTCCCCTGCCAGGGGCCCTCGGGGGAGGAAATGGAGCACCCACAGCTGCTCACCCAGAGGAGACACCGAGCAGTGACCCGCCCACCCACTCGCCCACCTAACCGCCCGCCCCCCACTCACATTCACACCCACCAGCTCCCCATTCACTCACCTCCGCGGCCCCCGTCCCAGCCACCGGCCCCCTCCGTCCATCTGCCCGCCAGTCACTCTGGGAACAAAGACTGGGCAGGTGGACGCCGACACCTGCCACCAACGGTGTCTTCCGGGCGACGGGCCCTCGGGCAAACCGGGCTCCGGGGCAGGGCGGGCGGGGCCCGGGAAGCTGCATTTCCTCCGGCCCCGGCTGGGGGCCGTTCCGACAGCACCCCGACCGCCTTCCCCTCTCTCTCCCTCAGTTCCTTACATCCCTTCCTCCCGGAACCACGGCGGCGTTAAGGACGATTCTGAGGTGAGCGTGCAGGGCGGCTCCCGGGGCTCCCCCGGTCCTCCTCCGGGGTCCCTGGGCTCCCTCCTGGGGAGACCGTGGGATCGTTGTCGTGCGGCCTGCATTGTCTGGCTGTCGCCGCTCGGGGCACCTCTCTGGCCCCAGCCCTGTGCCGTGAGGTTTGGGTGTGATCACACCTTTTCACGAGGACAAACAGTGCCCTGCGGGGCTCACTGGGGGCAGGGGGGCTCGGGCCAGCACAGGTGACTGCTCCCAAAACCCCAGCTCAGGCACCTTGAGCAGCGGGGAAGGCTGGGCCCGGGGTGGGGGGACAGGCGTGGGGGCTCACTGGCCTCCGGGTCGCCTTGGGCACCCCCGTGGCAGGCGCTGTCAGTGGGCCAGGGGCCGGGTGGACCCAGATGCCCCCCGGACTCCCCGGCCCCCTGGTTCGCTCAGCCCCGGGGCCCGAGTTCCTGGGATCTCGGGAATGTCTTTGCAGCTGGTGGCAGGTGCCCCCCTCGCCAGGCCACGAGGCCTTGGCGCCCACGGAGCCTCTCCCGCGGGGCGGGTCTGTCTCTGGGGACGGGTGTGAGTGCAGGGAAGTCGGTCCGGGAGGGGCCTCGGGGCCTGCACTGGCCTCCCGGGCTCCGGCCGTGCCCCAGCTGGGTCTCCCGTGGGGCGTGTCCTGCCTGAGTCCCCGGAGGCTCCTGACACCTGAGGCCCTTCGGTCCCGGTCTGGGCGGCAGCGGCCCCCCGGCCCCCTGGCCCCCTCCTCGCCCAGATCGCAGGGCGGGCCCAGGCTGGTGCTGGAGCTGCCGTTTTTGTCGAGTTGTTGACTTTGTCAGGTCATTTGTCCTCTGTTTTCTCCTCCCCATGTCCTCCACACCACCAAGCAACTCTCCAGTTCTCAGCAGACCCAGCCAGGTCCCCCACGCTAGCCCGGTTCTGACCCACACTAGCCCGGTTCTGACCCACCCTCCTGGAGACAGCGCCAGGCCCCGCAGGAGGGGCCCCTGGTGCTAGGAGGCGGCCCCCCCTTCCGGTGCCGCCGCAAGTCCAGCTTGTCCCTTGTGCTCCTGGGCACCCGAGCCCGGGGCAGGTCGCGATGACCTCGCCCTTGGGGTTGACTGACGGCTGGCGCGGCCCAGGAGCTCAGGGGGGGGCTCCCTCTGAGGCTGCGAAAGGGCCAGGCCTGCGGAGGGGGGCGCACGCCCCGCCCGAACACCCACGGGTTTGTCCGCCCGGAAGGTCTGGGGGGGGGGCCGTGCTTTGGGGGTTTTGTGGGGGCTTCCTCACTCGGGCGGGGTTGACCCAGCTGCTGCCCTGGAGGAGGAGCTCAGTCCCCGGCTCCTCTCTGCTGCTCCCTGGAGGTCTGGGGGCCCTCCCCCCCCAGTTCCAACCCTCCGAGTGCGTGGTTCGTTTCCCTGGCAACCGGCCCCCATCTTAGGTGATTCAGGGGCTTTTCAGAAGTCAGCTCGTTAACATAACAAAAGACACCTCCCGGCACTTAGGAAATCCCGAGGGTGCGGCAGCTCTGTGCCAGGACTGGAAGACCAAATGCAGGGGGCTCTCTTTGTGAATCGGTGCCCCGGGTCACCCTTCTGACCCTGGCAGCCCCTCCCTGGCTCCGGCTGAGGGGTCCGTGTGGCCTCTGGCCGCGGGAGCTCTGGCGGTGAAGGCGCAGTCACGCGGTGCCCGTGGGCAAGCGTGTTCTCACACGGCTGGCGTGCTGCACCTCTGTCCCCGGGAGTTCAGGCAGCAGCCCCGCCTGCCCCCGCCACAGCTTTTGCAGAGTGCTCGCAGTGTCACGGGTAGACTCTCCAGCCCGGCGACCGTCCCAGCGAGTCAGGGCCACGCTGGCGCCGCCCACACCGCCCGCTGGGGTCCTTGCCCGATATAATCTGCGGGAAGGAAGCCAGTCACGTGCTAAATCGGATTGTCTCTAAATCAGATTGTGACTGCTGTGTCAGCCACGAGCTATTGTGGGCCCAGGGAGGGCCTGGGTGGCCCTGGGGCGTGTGAGCCTGAGGCCACCTCCTCAGCTGTCCTCGTGGGGCTGTCCCCAAGCATCCTGTACCGCTCCCAGTGGGGCCACGGTCTGTGGAAATAAACTGCTTTTCGCTCCGAGCTCCTTCCATCAGAAGCTGCACAGCCCTGCCCCGGCTGGTGCGGCTGGGGGGCCGGGCGCTGTCCGGTTCGGTTCCTGGTTGGGGGGCTCACCTGGGTTGTGGGCCAGGTCCCCCCCGGTGGGGGGGTGTGCCGGAGGCAACTAATTGATGTTGCTCTTCCTCTCTTTCTCCCTTCCTCCTCCTCTCTCTAAATATAAACAAATAAAGTCTTTTTCTGAAAGCGGCACAGTCCTTCCTTCTTGGCCTTACGTCCTGGCGGGGGGGTGTTGGGGGTGTCCTTTAGGACACGGAGTCGTGACCTGTGAGCACACTGGCCCTGAGGCCCGGGGTGCACAGAGTCTTTGTCGAGACCGTGGGGGGTGCCGCCGCGTCCCCCTGAGTCCAGCCGTCTCCCCCCGGCCCCTCTGTCCCCGCCCCCCAGGACCTCAAGCCGGTCATCGACGGGATGGACGGGATCAAGATCTCTCAGGGGCTGGGGCTGCAGGACTTCGACCTCATCCGGGTCATCGGGCGCGGGAGCTACGCCAAGGTCCTCCTGGTGCGGCTCAAGAAGAACGACCAGGTCTACGCCATGAAGGTGGTCAAGAAGGAGCTGGTGCACGACGACGAGGTGGGGGCCGCGGGGGGGGGCGCGGGGGGCGGTCACGGGGGTTCTCGGGGGAGGGCGCGGGGGCGGGCCCGCAGAAGGCCCCGGCGCCGGGCGGCCGTGTCCTTTCTCCAGGGGCAGCACGATCTCAGCCCCCAGAGGGAGCCCCCGGCAACCCCGGCTCTGCTTTCTGTCCCGGAGGGTTTGCCTGGTCCGATGGCCCCCCTCCCCCCCCACACACACACACGGTCACACGCTGTGTGGCCTTGGGGGTCCGGCTCCTCACCGAGCGTCATGTTCAGGGCGCCCCCACGGGGCGGCCTGGGTCGGGCGTTTGGGTCGGGCCGTTCGCTGGGAGCGGAGTGGCTGTGGACACGCATGTGCCGGGCTCTGAGTCTGAGTCTGAGTCTGAGCGAGACCCTGTCTCCAGTCCTTGGCGTCTTCAGGCGGGAGTGGGACCGCGGGGTTGTCGGGCAGCTCCACCTTCAACTCTCCAGGAGCCGCCAGACTACCTTCCTTCGGCGGCCGCCGCGCCCTCTGCGTCCTTGACGGCCGCCCGCGGGCCTGGGTCCCAGTTCCCAGGGGCCCTGCCCAGTGCCGGCTGCGTTCTGGGTTTGCATTAGCGCCGCCCTGGTGGCTGCGAAGCGGCCTCCCACTGTGGCTTTGGCTGCACCGCCACCGCGGTTAGGGACGCTGAGCACCTTGCCAGGCATCCCCGGGTTCCTGCGCCCACATGTGGTTCTGTCTCCCAGAAGCAGAGAAAGGGCTGTGGCGCCCAGGGAGCTGTGGTGCTGCGGGGCGCGGCCAGACCCCTCCCCGGCACGGCAGCCAGCCGCACAGCGAGTGCAGTGGGTGGGGCCCGGTCGGCGGGCCCTGGAGAGGGAAGGCGTTCGGGAGGGCTAGTGCTTCGGTGCGCCTCGGAGTCCTCACGCTGTCCGCTGGGGGCGGGGTGCCGGGGTGGGCTTCCAGGTGGTCCCTGGAGAAGGGCGCAGCCCCCGAGGTGGTGAGCGGGCCCGGGCGTGTGTGTGAGAGGCAGCAGTGTCCCGTGGCCGGGAGCCCGGGCCGAGGGCGGGAGGCGCTCGGGGCGGGGGGCGGGGGGGGGGTGCACAGCAGCGGCTGGGCGGCGGCCCCCAGGGAGACGTGCGCCCACCCGAGTCCCGGGAGCCGGGCGCCCCAGCCTGGCAGGCGGGAGGCGGCCGTGTCGGCGAGGGCGCCCGGGAGGGGAGCAGGCGTCCCGGCCACCGGCAGGGTCTTCTGCCTGAGCATCTGGCTGACCGGCTGCCCCTGCAGAACAGATGGCGGGGCCGGTCAGGAGAGCTGCGGGAGGCCGGCCTGGCCGGGGAGGCGCCGAGTGGAGTTACCCAGCAGCCACTGCACCGGCGCGGCTGCAGCTGGGGGACGGGAGGAGCCGGGGGTCCTCTGCGTGCACAGATGGGACGGAAGCCGTTCCGCCCCAGGGGTCTCCTGGCAGACGGGGGCGGGAGGGGCTGCACCCTGGGTTCCGGCATGGATGGGGGGGCAGCCCTGGGGGAGGAGCGGGGCTGGGGAGACGCCCGTGGGACCCCATCCGTGGATTCCTGGGGTCTTCCGTGGGGACGAAGGCTGCCGCTCACAGGCCGCTGTGGTAGCAGTGACAGCCGAGTGGGTGTTCCCTCTGAGTTGTCTCCCCCGTGGAGGCGGAGACCCCTCCCCCGGGGCGCCCCGGTGACCCCGCGGCCTCTGTTTCAGGACATCGACTGGGTGCAGACGGAGAAGCATGTGTTCGAGCAGGCGTCCAGCAACCCCTTCCTGGTCGGCCTGCACTCCTGCTTCCAGACGGCCAGCAGGTAGGGGGGCGGCCTGGGCTCTGCGCCGGGGTGTTGGGACTGTGGGGGTGCGGGGGGTCCGGGTGCGCGTCGGCCTCCCCCAGCCGCGAGTGTGAGGGTTTGGCTCGTCCGACTAGCTTCGTGGTCATCGGCCGGTGTCATATGAAGTAAATTTCCCGCGTCAGAACCCCAGTGATTTAATCCTGTTTACAAAACCTTTATCGAAAGCATCACACGCAGTCCGGCGCTGGGTCAGGTCCAGACGACCCCATGAACGGGAGGCGGGTCTGGGCTACTGGGCCCCGCCGACTCGTGGAATAAACCAGTAAATGCTGTCGGCTCCGCCCGGGAACCCGGCTGCTCTGGAGGGCCCCGGAGACTGCTGGTCCGGGGAATGAGCGTGGAGCCCGCTGGGACTCTCTGGCCAGTTGCTGTGCACTCACCCAGGTTGTCTGTTTGCAAAGCCGTCGGCTGTGTCCTGGGCCGGGGGATCCCCGGGGGTTCACTGGGACCCACAGGACGCAGCACGCCTCCGGGCTCAGGGCCGAGGCTCTCAGCTCCGCGCAGCAGACCGCTGGCCCCTCGGGGCCCCGCGGCGGGCCGGCCTCTCAAGGAGGCCTCCGGCAGCCTGCAGCTTGCACACCGCCATACGGGGAGGAGCTCATCTGGAAAGAGACCACAAGCTGAACCACCTGGAGACGGGACGGCCCCTCTGCGCATCTGGTGGCACCTCCAGGCCTCAGCTCTGTGCACTGCAGGACGCCCCCAGCCGCTTGCCGGCCCCCCAGACTTCCTGTGGCTGGTCGACGCTGAGCCCTCACCCCTGGGCTGAGGCTCTGTGCTGTGCCTGCCTGGGGGGCAGCCCAGCCCACTGGCCGCCTTGGCCCCACTGGCCACCTTGGCCCCTCCTGGCCCCACCCTCTGGCAGTAGGACGCCCCCTTGGCTCCCCCACCTGCCACTCCCCCCTCCCTGGGGTGCCCCCAGGCCCAGCAGCCAGAGTGGTGGTTCTCGGGGTCTCATCACCTTGTCACCTGGCCCACGCACCTGGCCTGTCCTCAAGTGTGGGGCTGGTCCCCGTGGCCAGCCAGGCCTCTGGTCGGTCCTGGTGAGGCCCCCTGCGCCCCCCACCGTGGGCTCTGCCCTGCTCCACCTTTCCTGCCCTGAGGCAGACGCGCACTCAGGGAGGGCGGACAGCGGTCGGGGGGATGAAAGTCGGGGTTCCCGAGTTCTGCAGAGTCGAGGTCAGAACTGGGTGACAGACAGTGTTCTCGAGCGTCCCTCAATGACGCCTCGACGGCCGGTGCTTGGCTCCGCCGCCTCTGGGTCTGCTTCATTCCGGGTGGCTCTCCCTGCCGGCACCACTGACCCGGGCGCGGGTCAGGTGAACTGGGCCACCTCTTTCCTTTGCACTAAGGAGAGTTGACGTGGCTGTGACAGAGGACAGGCCGTCGGCCGGGAACAGTCTGTCACCAGCGAGAGCGACCCTGGGCGGTCCGGTCGGGGCCCCGCCTGCGGGCGCGTCCAGCCGAGGCCCGCGGTCTCAACCTGCACTGTCCCCTCTGTCCCACCAGGCTGTTCCTGGTCATAGAGTACGTCAACGGCGGGGACCTCATGTTCCACATGCAGAGACAGCGGAAGCTCCCGGAGGAGCACGCCAGGTGGGTGCGGGCCCTGGGGCGGGGGCGGGGACCCTCTGGGGGCCAGCAGCGAGCTGCACTCAGCGGACGGGCTCCAGGGCAGACGGGCGCCCTCCCCTCCCCTGGGAGCGACTTGACTTGGTCCAGAGCCACCTGGGGTCGCCAACTTGGGGGGTGGTCCTGGGAGTGGCCGGGGGACCCTGACCCCGCAGGGGCAGCTCCCAGCCCCGCCCACAGGAGGCAGGAGCAGGTGCTGCTGGGACGGTGCTGCTGTGCTTTCGCCTTTTCTGTCCCCAGAATGGGGAGGGGCTCTCACTAAGGGCCCCCAGGGGACGAGGGGAGGAAAGGCCTGAGCGTAGTTCCCGTGGCCTCGGGCGTTCGCTGCCGCGCCCCTGCCTTTCCTGTTTTCCGCCGTTCTCTCCCCCCTCGCTTCCTCGCCAGGAAGCGCCCAGGCCGTTTGAGTCCCCTCGGTCCTCTCGGGAAAGGCGGTCAATAAATCACTCGCTTTTCCTAGTTGTGCAACGCCCGTCACACGGGAGTTACCACGTTAGCCGTTGTCAAGGGCACGGCTCAGGGGCGTTGGGCACACCCCCGGTTATGCAGCCGCCACCACCCCCGTCTCCAGAACCTTCTGTCCTCCCGAACAGCACCTCTGTCCCCAGGACACGCTCCCCACCCACCTCCCGCCCCCAGCCCCGCACCACCGTCTGCTCTGTGTCTGTGGGTCTGAGTCCTCTGGGGACCCCTGAGAGTGGAGGCACATAGTCTGTCCTTCTGTGTCTGGCACATGTCACGCAGCGTGACCCCCTCCGGGTCCGTCCACGCTGTAGCGCGTGTCACAGCTTGCTTCCTTCTAAGGCTGAGCAATGTTCCCCGTGTGGCTGGACCACCTCGTGTGCGTCTGTCCCCCACGGACACTGGGCTGTTGCCACGCTCTTGGCGATTGTGAGCAGTGCCACTGTGCACGCGGGGGCACACCCCTTTCTTCGCCCCTGCTTTCAACTGCTCTGGGGACCCGCCCGCCCCGCAGTGGGATGGTGGGTCGTGGGGTAATTCTGTCGTTTCCAGAGGAATCTCCACACCGTCTCTCACAGCAGCTGCACCAGTTTACACTCCCACCAGCTGTGCGCTGGGCCCAGTTTCTCTGGGTCCTCGTGAAACCTGTGGTTTTGGTTTGGTTTTGTGTGTGTTTGGTGTGTGTGTGTTTGGTGGTGGCCGGTGTCTCCCTGTGGCTTTGGCCGGCGTGTCCCCTGAACAGCTGGCAGGCTGAGCGTTTCCCCTGGATCTGTGGGCCCCGAGCTCTGGTCAGCTGGGGGCGGGGCCGTGCGAGGGGGGCGAGGCCCCTCGCTGGGCCCGCTGACGCCGGGGCGCCCCCCAGGTTCTACGCCGCGGAGATCTGCATCGCTCTCAACTTCCTGCACGAGAGGGGGATCATCTACCGGGACCTGAAGCTGGACAACGTCCTCCTCGACGCTGACGGCCACATCAAGCTCACGGACTACGGCATGTGCAAGGCGAGCGGCCCCCCGGGTCTCGCCCCGCGCCCCGGCCTGCTCGCCCCGCGTGCCTCGGGGCAGAGACGCCGCACTCCCACCAGTCGGGCCTGCCCCGCCGGCCGTCCTGAGGCGCACGGTCCCACCGGCACGGTCACGGCAGAGTTGTCCTCCCTCCCGGTAACCGGCTGTGTCCCCACAGGAGGGCCTGGGCCCCGGTGACACCACGAGCACTTTTTGCGGAACCCCGAATTACATCGCCCCGGAAATCCTGCGCGGGGAGGAGTACGGTGAGCGCAGGGCCCGCCGGGTGGGGCGGGGCCAGACAGGTGGGCGTGGTCGGGCGGGGCGGGGCAGCCAGGGGCGGGGCGGGGCTTGAGTGGCAGTCACGGAGCGGGGCGGGTGTGGGGCCGGCAGCCCAGGAGAGGGGTTCACTGCCCCAGTCACACCGGAGCCGCACGCCCCGGACACACCTGGGCCTCCACCCTTGGTTGAGCCCGAGCAGCGCCCCCTGCTGTCCCAGGCGTCCCTGGTGGAGGACACAGGACCGACCAGGGCCCGCAGTCGGCGGTGCTGCCCTGACCCGGAACCACTCCCCCGCCACCCCGCGGACGCGGCTGTGCGCTCTGCCCCCGCTTCCTCGGCCTGGGAAGCAGCATGATCCGGGGGTGGGCGTGCTGGGGTCCCCGTGAGGCGTCAGATACTCCTCAGCGTTTCCTTTGCCATTACAATGAGGGGCGGGTGGGGGGGACCCGCCCCGGCAGGTGCTCGGGCACCGGGGGCCAGAGGGGGACAGCCGGCCGCCCGTGGGCGAAGCTCCCCCCGTCCGCTGAAACACATTCCCGACACACCAGCCGTGCTCGAACGTGAAACCCCGACCGTGAGCGCGGGAGAAAACGCAGGGGTGCCTCCGGGAGGGGAGTCTCCGCGCCAGAAACGCGCGCGGGCGGCCGACCCGCAGACGGGCTCAGTGTTGCGGTGCCGGTGCCGCCCGCAGAATCGCAGGGCCCCCCCCTCCCCTCCCCTCCCCTCCCCTCCCCTCCCGACCACGTGACAACCCGGACGCCGGTGCGGAGCCGGGTCCGGGGTCTGTGTCCTCAGTGCAGAGCAGTTTTGGAGTCGTTAGAGAAGTTCGCCCCGCCCCCCAGGGCAGAGGGCGGAGGGTAGAGGGCAGAGGGCGGCCCGCACAGGGGAGGCAGGGACGCACCACACGGCGTGACGGCTGCGTGCCCCGCCGCAGGCTTCAGCGTGGACTGGTGGGCGCTGGGCGTGCTCATGTTCGAGATGATGGCCGGGCGCTCCCCCTTCGACATCATCACGGACAACCCCGACATGAACACCGAGGACTACCTGTTCCAAGGTGACGCTGTGGCCGGGAGGGTCCCAGCCCTGTCCCTGCCCCTGGAGCCGTCCGTTCCCCACCCCCACCCCCCAGACTGGGTCCGGCTAGCCGTGGGCGGGGCCACCCGTTTCCTGTCACCGGGGAGGAACGGGACCTGATGTAGCACAGACCCTCCCGCCCGGGCCAGGTGCATCCTGGAGGCCTGGCGGGGGCGGGGGTGGCTCAGCCAGGGCATTGCCCCTTCAGCCCGTTAGGGCTCCGGGCTTCCCCGGGCGCACCTGCCCTGCGGGCTCGGCTGGCCCCGCGGCGCCCCCTGGCGGCCGTGCGCGGGGGTGCCGCGTACATGGGGAGGCTGGCCGTGGGCCTGGGGGCCTGGGCGGTGCAGCCCTCTGGGCCCCGCCCCGCATGGCTCCTGCACTGCAGCGCAGCGGACACGGGGGCCGCCACTGGGCCCCGGCGTCTCATGTCGACCCCACTCCTGCAGTGATCCTGGAGAAGCCCATCCGCATCCCCCGCTTCCTCTCCGTCAAAGCCTCCCACGTCTTGAAAGGATTTTTGAACAAGGTACGCTGGCTCGCGGCCACCAGCCTCCCCGGGGGGTGGAGCGCGGCGGCGGGTGGGCCTTCTCCGCCCCGGCTGGCGAGTCCTCACCTGAACTCTGACCCCTAGGACCCCAAAGAGAGGCTCGGCTGCCGGCCACAGACTGGGTTTTCCGACATCAAGTCTCATGCGTTCTTCCGCAGCATAGACTGGGACCTGGTAACGCACCGCGGGGCGGGTGGGCGTGGGGGTGCGGCGGGCATTGCGGGGGGCGGGGGGGCGTTGAAAGTCACGTGTGACCGAGCAGGGAGGCAGGGCCAGCCTGGTCCCCGGGGACGGTGCTGCCAGGTGACCCCGTGGAACCCGCCCCCGCCACGGTTCTGTGCGGAGTCACCAATGGGGGCGCCCGGAGAAGGGCGGCCCCTTTGGCTTCCCGTGGGTCGGTTGCCCAGGCCTGGCGCTCGGTCTGGTCCGCGGCGGGGTGCTCCGGCCGGTTGGAGTTTGGCGCTGCGGTTCCTGGTATTTAGGGCGAATGGAACCTGGTTTATTTGAGAATGCAGAAATGGAGGTGGAGTTGCTGAGATGCATCCCTTAAAATGTGCCGTTCCTGATCCCTCGGCCCCCACGTACACGCGGGGACACAGGCTGGGGTTTTCTTGGTATCGGCTGGGCTGCCTGTCTGGGGGGGACTCAAGGCCCCCCAGGGTGGGGGCATCTGTGGGCCCGGCGCCGCCTTGGCCCCGCTCAGGGCCCTGGGGTCCAGGGCACCCTCTGGCCGTGGTCGGTCGGCCGCTGGGGGGCGCTCCACACTGACGTGCCTTCTCGCGTGCCCCCAGCTGGAGAAGAAGCAGGCGCTGCCGCCCTTCCAGCCGCAGATCACAGACGACTACGGCCTGGACAACTTCGACACGCAGTTCACCAGCGAGCCCGTGCAGCTGACCCCGGATGACGAGTGAGCTCCGGCGGGGGCGGGGGCGGGGCGCCTGGCTGGAGCCGGGTTTGAGGGGGCGGGGTCCGGAGGGCGGCCCTGGACCGAGCCCTCTGCCTGTGCCCGCAGGGACGCCCTGAAGAGGATCGACCAGTCCGAGTTTGCAGGGTTCGAGTACATCAACCCGCTGCTGCTGTCCACCGAGGAGGCCGTGTGAGGCCGCCTGTGCGCGCCGTCCTCCTCCTCCCCCCCGAGCGCGCGTGCCGGGGAGGGCGCCGCGCCGAGACCGCGCCGCGCGGCCGGGGCGCCTCTCGGGGCGGAGCGGCCCCCCAGCGGCCCGCACCGCAGCTTCGTGCGGGAGGACTTCGCTCCTTGTGCCTGCGTCGCGGAGGCCCCGCGGTGACCGCGTCCGTCCAAGGGAGGCCCGGTCCCGCGATTCCGAAGGTGCACACTTCCCACAGAAGCGGACTGACCCGCTCCGCCGGGAGACTCACCTGTGACGTGCGGGGAATAAAGCGTTACCGATGGTGTAGACGGCGCTCGCTGCCTTCTGTCTGGGGCGCCTGTGGCGGAGCTGCGTGAGCGCAGAGGGGGCCGGGCACGGGGGTCTGGGCGCCTGTCGAGGAGTTTTTGCAAACACGGACACTCGCGCAGTCCCGTAAGTTCCTGTCGTCGACGCTGAACGGGTCGCGGAAGCGCGGGGGAGTCCGCCCCGCCGCCTCCACGTCTCGGCGCCACGTCCCCGCCCGCGCTCGGGCCTCGGGGGACGCGGAGAATCGGCGGCGGAGTCTGACGCCTGGCCCGCCGGAGCGCCGGCAGACCGAAACAGAGAAGGTGGGCAACTCGGTCTGCTCAGACGCGTCCCTGAAAACACTGAGCGGCGCCCGCACCACGTGGCCCCGGGCGGTTTGGGGGCGTGTCTGACGGAGACGCTCAGAATCGGAAAACAAAAACGTCAGACCCGTGCGTGGGGGCCGAGCCTCGCGGTGAGAGGGCACCCAGGGTGCTGTCAGACGCTGCGCCGCCACCCTGGCGGCTCACCCGTGACGTCTGAGCAGGGGCTCAAGCCCCCGGGGTCACCCCCTCGGGAGAGGGACAGCCCGAAGAGCTGAAACAAAGGACTTCTAGAAAGAGGCGAGTCCCCTGAGTTTTTAAGTCCCTAACACGTTAGCTGGGCCCCGAGCTGGGGCTCCTCAGGGCCCCAAGTGCTGGGACAGGAGCGCCAGGCTCCCCGACCCCTATCCTGAGGTCCCTGCCCACCCCCACCCTGGGTCCACAAAAGCAGCAGTCACCCAGACCCAAGTGCCACCAGGAAGACCTGCCTCCGAAGACCCGGGCCAGGAGCGTGGGGTCTGAGAGCCCCCTGGGCCCCCATGGCGTGGGATGTCCAGCGGCAGAGCCCGGTCTGTGGCCTGGGCCGTCGCCCGTGACTGCTGAGCAGAGAGCCGGGACACGCCAGTGTCGCCCAGGGAGGGAGAAGCCCCGTGGGGCAGGAGCTGCTGGGTACACCCTCGGCCCTGGTGGGTCGTCAGCCCCGTGGGCCGCAGCCCGGGCCCAGGTGCGTCCAGGCTGAGGCCCGGCTCCGGCGCCAGGTGTTGGTTGGTGGTCTGGCCCCTTGTGCGCAGCGGGTGTGTGACGCTGCTCACACTGATGGGAGCGCTGCACACACCTGTTGTCCCAGTGAAGGCGGCGGAGGACGTGAGCGCCCAAGCCTGCAACCGGCGGTTCTGCGGTTTGCCGGCAGCCCCGTCGTGCGGCTTTGCCCCATCAGCACAGCCCCGGCCCGGCCCCACCGTGGAGGACACTCCCACAACCCCAGCCAGGCCGCTCTGGGCCAGCACGCCAGTTAGAGACCTTCGTGAACACGCCCACTGCTATTTTCTTTAAAAGTGGGTGCTTCCAGGAAGCAGGTTTTGAAGCCCTTTTTAAATAACAGATTTTATTGAACAGTCTTAGGTTCCCAGCAAAATAGAGGGGCAGGTACAGGGATCTCCTGTCTGCTCCCCGCCAGGCACAGCTGCCCCCACTACCAGCACCCCCCCAGAGGGAGGGTGTGGCACAGCGGGCGTGCCGCCATCACCCAGGGTCCTCGCTTACATCCTGGCTGCACCCATCCTGCAGGCCTGGATGAGGCGTCTGGTGACATGTGTCCACCGTGACAGGTGACTCGGAGGAACCTCCCTGCCTCAGCGTCTGCTGCACCTGTCCCCTCCCATGGCCCCCGCGGGCCCTTCCGTCACCCCTGTAGCACCGCCTTTCCCAGACTCTCAGCACCAGGCATGGCCCGTTCTGGTCGGCGTCTCTCTTCCGGGGGCGGGGGGGGGGGGCTCGCTGCAGGTTCCCTCCACGCGCTGTCACGGCCGATGGGGCCGGTGTTGAGAGGAAATCAGGACGTCTGCGAGTGCACCTACGGCTCCGCACCTGCCGTGCGTGTAGCAGAGACGAGGGTGTCGGGCCTGAGCCGGCACAGAGCCCGGCTCTCCTGGAACCCGGAGGGTGAGGGAGGCCAGCCCGACGGCCCGTCCCGCGCCAGAAGCCTGGACAGGGCGGAGGTTGCTGGTCCGCAGTCCGCCCTTCAACTCCGGCCGAGGGGGAGCTGCTCTGCCTCGCCTGCCCATAGTCCCCTCGGGGGGTGACAGGCGCTGCAGAGGGGACCCGTGCCCCAGGGAACAGAGACCTGGTGTGCGCTGCGCAGAGTCAGCCTGTCCCCCGAACACAGATGGGCGCCCGGGTCCCGAGGCCCCGGGTCAGCTGGCGAGGCCGTCCGCACACCGGCCCGGGCGTGCCTGCCGACCACGGTTCCGACGGCTGAGCCAGGGCCAAGGAGGAGCGGGAGCCGGGGCTCAGCGTGCAGCTCCAGCTCCCTCGCCCGTCGGGTGCAGGGCGTCGGGTGCGGGGCAGGGGTCCTGGCGGGGACGCTGCGGGCGGCTCACCACACCACGTCCTCCGTGCTGCCCGCCAGGCACTGCGCGAGGTGCCCGTCGATGTCCAGCTGGGCCAGCCTGTGAGGAGGAGGAGGAAGAGAGACGGCCGGTCACGGGGCGGGAAACGCCACCCCACGGAAGGGCACCTGGCCGGAGAAGCCCTGCCGACGGCCTCCGGCTGGCTCACGCGAGCGGAGGTCTCAGAGGAGCGGCCGCACCCACCAGGAAAGACCCTCCCAGGCCCTGTTCTCAGTCAGGCTCTGCGTGCGCCCTGGACACGGGACACGCACACTCGGGCTTCTGTGTCCGAGGCCAGGGATGGCCTGGCGCCCGCTCGGCTTGGCCACACCACAGCTCCCGGGCAGCCACTCGAAGCCCAGCCCAAGAGCTGGTCGGCTGGCAACTTTCCCCACAGGCCTCCAGGGCCCTTCCCACAGCAGGGCGCAGAGGCCACCTCGGGCCTGTGCCAGGAGTCCCGCAGAGCTCCAGGGATGCCTGTGACCACGGCCAAGGACTTAGATTCCTGGTCAGCCTGGACGGCTTTGCCAACAGGGGATCCCCCAGCCACGGCACCTCAAGGGCCATGACCAGCCAGCCCAGTCCACTGGCCAGAACGAAGAGACCGTCCCTGGAACCACCGAGTCGCAGCGCCAAACCTACAGCAACCGCCCCTGATGGCCCCGAGCGGGCCCAGTGCCACCGGGAGGGACAGCACCGGACCCCGGCCACTCCTGGCCCCGCGGCCAGTGCCCTGCTGCTCGCCGGGGCCCAGGCCACATCTGGGGGCCTTCTCGGTCTCCACGGGCCCCAGCCCACAGGTCCCGGAGTCCCCGGGGCCACTTGGCCTATCCTTAGGACCAGCCCCCACCGTGCGCTACCCCAAGGCCACGAGAGAGCCTCAGGCCTGGACCGAGATCACCCTGTCTGCAGGCCACCCTCGGGTGCAGCCCTCAGGCCCCCGCCCGGCCCCGCCCCAGGGACAGGACTCAGTTTCGGCCGACCCTTTTCTAGCACGCACAGCGACACCCTGTCTCACAGTCGGCCGTGACGCCCGGTGCCCGTGATGGAACGGCCGGCACAGTTGGGGGACAAGGGGGCTCAGGCAACACCTACAGCGGCCCCTGAGCAAGACCAGGGTGAGAGCAGCGGGCACCCCACAGCCTGAGGGGCCTCAAGCAGCTCCGGTCCCACACGTCGGGGGTCCCACACATCGGGAGACCCAGGACTCAGGCTCCTCCGTCCACTGGCCTGGGGATCCGACCTGCCCGACCCGCTATGTGACTCGGGCATCAGAAAACCCACAAAATACCTGAATTCGGCAGCAGGGGGACCCTACGGGGACACACACGGTGTGAGTCCCTCACATCACACAAGAAAGGTTTTCTGAGTGGCCCGGGAAACGCTCAGGCATGGCAGAAATGGGACAAGCCGGCCCTACTGTGCCCGGCCCCTCCCTCGGCCAGAGACCGGTCCCTCCCGACAGCGGTCTCGGACCAGCCAGCCAGACAGCGCGGTTCCCGTGTCCACGTGCCACCGGCGCTCTGCCGCGCCCGCCCGTCTCCTTGCCCCAGGGCATCCGTGTGTGGTGGGCAGGGGGCCTTGTCTCCTAGGCGGGGGTGCCCGTCGTCTCCCCGGGGTGGCTGGGGCCTCAGGGCATGTTCTGGCCCAAGCTCGCTCTGCCCTTTACAATCCGATGGAAGAACAAGCTAGAAGCATCCCAGACTCACGGAGACTGACACTCAGGACCCAAGGGCACTGACACCCATGCTGGAAAAACGTGGCACTCTGCCAAGCTCACAGAGCTGCTTTAGCGCTCAAACCTGCAACTTCCCTCCTACTGCCCCTGTCTTCGGGAGCCTTTCTTTAGAGACGCAAAGACAGAGACCTGGGTGGGGCAGGGGGGAGGGGCTGCCCCTCCCCGAGTCTGGGCCTCCAGGCGCCCCGGGGCCTCTGCTGCCCGGTGTGAGCCCTGTCGGCTTCACTCCCTTCCCTTCCCTGGGCGCTGGGGTCGGCGCCGGGTGCAGCTGACCACGACCCGAAACCCACCCAGACTACAGGCCAGAGGTGGGAGGCCTGGTCCGACAGTGCCCTGCAGACTCCCCCCAGGGCCCTCCCACCGAGCGGGACCGGCAGGGCCTTCACCGCATGCAGGCCCCACCCGAGGCCAGCCGCCACCTCGCCCACACCAGCCTGGGCGGTGGGGCAGGGGTGCCGGGGGCCCCCTCGGACATAGCACAGGAGGAGCCACGACCCTGACTCCCATGGGGTTCCAAACGAGGCGCTGCGTCTGGGGACGGTCCTGCGCAGGTTCCGTCCCGAACGTGTGGGCTGCCGGCTCGAAGGGTGTTTTGCCATCAGCTGCTGATTCCGGAGCCCACGCCCGGCTCCCTCCAGGGGTGGGTTTGCTTCCGGGATGTCCAGGGACATGGCTCCCAAGCACAGGTGTCCCGCCCACAGGAGGTCTGGGCAGGCCCAGGTCCACACCCTGCTGTCCACCTACCGCACCTGAACTGAGCTCATCCCCCCATGCTGGCCCCGTGAGCCCCACAGCGGTGCCCCCGGCTGGGTGACACCCAGCCCACAAGCTGAGTGTTTTAACTTCTTAGTACAATTGGATTCCATCCCCCTACTTAAAATAAGCCATAAAAATATATACTGGGTTTTTTATGTAGAAGAAAACATCTGTATGCACAAAAGTCTTCCATCTTAAAACTTCCCGCCCACCCGCAGGAAGGTGCTGGTGGAGCTAGGCACCAGGCACCTCCCAGCGACCCACAGCTTGGCCCTGCCCTGGAGAAGGCCTCAGCCCACCAGGCCCAGGGCAGGGCAACTGGGCGAGGGAGGGGGGCGGCTCCTGGGCCTCCCACTGTAGAGTCTGTGGCCTGGGTCAGAAAGCAGCCTGTCGGGGCTCTGGGCCTGCTGGCTAGCAGGGGGGCCCCCAAACCCATAGACTCGTGCCCTCCCGCTAACCTCCTAGTCTCCCCTGTGCCAACTCTGCACGCACATGGTTACTCTGAAAAGCCAAAAGGAGCTCGGGCACCTCTCGGCCTGCCCGAAACTGGCCGGGGTCGGAGCGGCAACAGAAGGCAGCGACCCGGGGCAGGGGCACTCACCCGGGAGCGAAGTCGACCTGGCACATGGGGCAGCTCTGCAGTGTCTGCGCCCCGTCCACCGCCGACTGCGCCCCGGCGCCGAGGGCTCCGCTGGGCTCCGGCGTGGCGCATGCTTGCGGGGACCGGGCGAGGGACCCTGGGCACCCGCTGGCTCCGCGGAGCACCCGGTAGGAGTGTCCTGGGCCCTCTCCCTTCGGGGCAGGCGGGAAGGGCGTCCAGGAAAAGGTTTTGGATCCCACGGTGAAGACCTCAGGAGAATCGGCGCGCTCGGGATAACGGCTGGGCTCCTGCGAACCAGGGGGGTCGGGCGTTGTCAGCGGCGTCTCGGCCCGGAGGCCTCCACGCCCCCAGCCGCCCCGGCGCGCGCCTGGCCACCCACCTGGCCTGGGAAAGCGGGCAGCGGCGGCGGCACTCCGTCCTCGTCCAGGTCCGCGCTCACCGCGCGCAGCAGCCCGGCCCACAACCGCGCGCGCTCGCCGTCGCCGTCCTGGAGGGACCCCGGGCGGGGGCTCGGAGGCCTGGGGCAGCGAGGGTAGATATCAGCCGGGGGAAGATCCGCGGGGGAGCAGCCGGCGCCGGGGGTGGGGGGCACGGGCGGAGGAGGGCAGGACCGGAGGGAGCGGGCGAAGAACGCCGCCCGGAGGGGCCCAGCGGGAAGCACGTGGGGAGGGACGCGGGCCACAGCTCGCCCGGGGGACACTGGGCCACCCACCCCGGCCACCCCCCAGGCCCCAGCCTCACCCGCCCCTGGAGGGCGGCTGCCGGCGACTCAGCCGAAGCCGAGAACTCCGAGACGCCTGCATCGCCCGGCGGCCCGCGCGTGCGGCGGAAGTGAGCGACCAGTTCCGATCCCTTCACTGGCCCCGCCCCGACGGACGCTGGCCCCGCCCGTCCAGACGCTGGCCCCGCCCCATCCAGACGCTGGCCCCGCCCCGATCCCGCGGACAGGCGCGAGGACCCGGACCCCAACCCCCACCCCAACGGGATTCGACCTTACCGCCGTGCGCGCGGGTCCCGTCCCCGGGGTCCCCGGCCCCCGGGTCCCCAAGGCCGCCCCTCAGGCCTCGAGGAGGCGGCCTACTGTTGTGACGTCATCAGAGCAGGCGGTGTCCTGACTCCAGCCTCTGGGGAGACCGAGGCCAACATTCCTTCCTCCGCCGCCGAGGAGACCCTTTCCCGCGGAGGGGGCGGGGGGCCCCGCCCGCCGCGGTGACCGCAGGCCCGGGGTCCGCAGAGGCCTCCCACCGGGTCACCCCAGTAGGGCCCACCGGCGCCGGCCCCGCCACCCCGAGCTGCTCGGCTAGCACAGCCCAAGCCTCGACCCCGCTCGGCGGACTCCGCGGTCCCTCCCAGGACCGTCACCGCGTCTCTCCGGCAGGGCAGGACGCGGCGTCCTTAGTGAAGGAAAAGAGAAGGGAGGCGACCGAGTCCGGGGGGCCCGCCTAGGTCCCGGGCCGGGCGGTGCCGGGGGTGCAGGTCCTGCGGGGGTCTCCCCCGGTTCCCGCCTGGGCGACTCCCAGCGGCCACTGGGTGGCAGCAGAGGCCCAGGCACCCTCTGCGGCTCCGGACCCCGGGGAGCCCCTGCCCGCCGGGCGTTGGGGTGGCCCTGAGGCGGCTCCACGGGGCCAGGATGTGCAGGGGGCTGGTGGCGGGCGGCCGCTCGCAGTGGACACAAACATGTCACTGGGGCGCTTGGACGCGCCATTTCTGCTGTTCCCAGCTTCAGGCTCCGCTCTGGACCCCACTTCCGCAGGGTCCCCCCTGCGCTGCCCAGCCTCCTCAACCCCATCCGACCTTACCCCCCTCCACCTCACCTCACAGTCCCACCTCCTCCAAGCCCCAAGTTTGGGCACCCCCAGCCCTGAGTGCGGACCCCTCCAGCTAGCCGTCACCCTTCTAGGGCTCAGGCCGGCCTCCCGCCGGCTGCCCGTGCGGACTGGAGGTGGGGCAGCGTGCTCACCCCCCCACCCCCCGCCTGCGCCGGGGACAACTAGGTGCTGCAGACCCCAGGGGAATGGCACCGGGCCCTTGCCCCCAGAGCCTCCCCCCCACCCCCACCGTGCATGGACCAGCGGGCTGCCGTGGCAGGAGCTCGGGTCCTGGGCGAGGTGGCCCGTGCCTGGCCGGCCCCCAGGTGTGGGGGCTCCCCGCTCTGGCACTCGGCAGGCGCCAGCTGACGGAGGACTCCAGAACAGCTGTGTCTGGGTTCCCTGACCAGGTCCTGGCTGGCCCCAGCCTCAGAGCCTTTCCTGGAAGTGTCACCGCACTCCTGCAAGCCAGCCGCAGGGACTTCCAGGAGGAGCGGCGCCAGGCCAGCCCAAGGCCGAGCGAGGCCCTACCAGGCCTCAGATGGCCAGTGCGCGCGCAGCTCTCGGGCCGTGCTGGGGAGCTGCGGGGGCAGCTGGGTGAGGAGCTGCTGCTGCTCCTGAGCAGGGCTGGGCGCAGACAGTGGGGGCCTCGGCGCCCCAGCCTCTCTGGGCCACTCCCACCCTCCGTGCCTCCCCCCTGCAGATGCCCATCGCCCGTTCCCCAAAGGAGGGAGAGGCCCCAGATGGGCCCAGGACGCGGGCCCGGTGGGGGGGCAAGTGCCCCAGGATGCGCCGGCCGAAGCCTCTGACACAGGACAGGGGCACCCAATCTCCTCTGGCCTTGGCCGCCCCAAAGGGCCTCCTTTTGCTTGGCTACCAAGGGAGGGGACCCCAGGCCAGGCCTGTACCGGCTGGTGGAACAGCCGCCCTGGGGGCCCGGCACCCCGGGGAGGGCAGGCCGGAGCAACCCGTAAGTCATCCGGGGGGTCTCTCCTCTCCGGTTTCACCCGGCTGCGGAGGACTCCCATCCCCCACCAGCCCAGGGACCCGCCGCCTGGGGCCCTTCCTTGCAGAGCAGAGCTGGGGCCACCCTGAGCCGGGCACAGCAGGTGCCAGGGCCCGTCAGGAAGCCCCCGATCCCCTCCGCCAATGCTTTCCGACAGCTGCCGCCCCGCCCCAGGCCTCCCGGGGACCTCCTGGCGGGGGGGCCCCTGCAGCCCCGCCCCCTCCCACTGGGGTCAGTGAGATGCGGGGCCCTGGTGGGGCCGCAGGGACTCGAGACGTCGAACTCGATTAAAAGGCTCCAGTTTGCTGAGCCATCGGCTGCAGCGACAGGCAGCAGAGCTTTGTGGGAGAATAGTTTCTGGCTGGGACTGGGATCGGCACCGTGGAACCCTGTTTTCACAAGACAGAATCCGAGTTTGCCCAGAATCTGCCAGCGTTTCCCGGGAGGCCCCCCTCCCCACCCAGCAGTGTCTGTGGGGTCAGGGGCGTCGGGCCCCACCCTCCGGCCTCGGAGCCGCCTGCCCGGTGCTGGGCCCTCACCGTGTGCTCTGGCCTCGCCCGCCATCCGGAGGGGATGAGCCCGCTCCCCGAGCCCCGCAAGGCGCCCGGCCCAGACTTGGGGTGGTGTGAGCAGCCGGCCGGTCAGGGCCCCTTCCCTCCCCCTCGAAGGGGCGGGTGTCTGGGCTCCTGACAGACCCAGGGCCGGGGCAGGAGTGGCACCCGGCCCCTGTGGCGGGCGGGGCCCAGCGCTGCCTCCGACGCCGCAGCAGGGCCCACTCGGAGCTGGCGGGGGCGAGCTAGGCCCCTCTTCGCTTCCCCACACCCTTCTGTGATTTTGGGGGGTCGGTTCTGCCACCTGGCAGCAGGCCCGGGCCCTTCCGGTCTTCGAGGGAAACCCCAGCAGGCACATGCCGTCCGCTCAGAGGGGGTGGGCGGCGAGCCCCCACGCAGGGTGCCCTGCCTGTGCCAACTGCGGAGCGGGGATGGCCCCCCGGAGCCCGGCCGTCCGTCCGATGCCCGCCTGCGTGTGCCCAGCCGGCCAGCCCGCCCGGAGCCCAGCGGCGGCGCTTGTGGTCGTGAGCGCGCCGAGCGGACGGGCGGCTGGGAAACAGCGGAGGGTGGGAGGGCAGCGGAGCCCCGGGCAGGGCCCACCCGGCCCCGGCGGTGCAGGAGTGGGGGCGCCTGCTCACCCTGCAGATGGGGGGGCCTCGATGGCCGGGACCGCCAGGGGTCAGCAGGTTAAAGCCAAGGGCGGCCCAGCCTCCAGCCGCAGCCCCCGGAGCCCGGAAGCCCCGGGGCAGCAGGGAGGGTCGGCGGGAGAGACGGTGCCTCGTCTCCAAGCCCCTCCCACCCCCACTGTCTCCTCTCCGCCGCCCTCCCTCCCCCAGCCACGCCGTCCTTCCTCTGTCCCCACGTCCCCAGCTCAGGTGCTGCCCTCGCTGGTCTCCTCCCCCGAGTGGAGGCTCCTGAGGACCCTGGGGCTCTGCTCTGGCACCCCCCCCCCACCCCACCCCACCCCACCCACCCCACCCCACCCCACCCCTAACAAGCCAAGGAGCCTCTCCGGCGCCTCCCTCCACCCATCACCCTCCTGGGTTCTCCCGCCCACGAGTGGGACTGCAGGGCTGGCGGGGGGGCTGACTTCCCAGGAGGCCAAGCCTGCACTCTGCCCCCCACAGTGACCCCCAGCCTTGGGGTGTGGGGGGGGCGTCTGGGGGGCCAGTCAGCCAATCCCGAGGGAGAGGGAGACCAGCCCGGGCCATGTCCGGAAGGGATGTGTGTCCCCCCAAACCCACGCTCCCTGGGGACCTGTGCGAGCGACCTCACTTGGAAACAGGGTCTGTGCAGGAGGAGTCACGTTAAGCTGAGGCCATGCTAGGTCAGGGGGGCCCTGACTCCAGTATGCAGGGTCCTCCTTCATCCGAAGAGGACGGCTGGACACAGGCAGAGGTTGGGGTGATGAGGCGACAAGCCAAGGGGCGCCCGCAGCCACCAGATGCTGAAGAGGCAGGAGGGAGCCCCCCTGGACCTCCGGGAGGGGGCTCGGACCCCCTCCTGTGCGCAGCCCCGGGACGCCTCACCGGGGCCCTGGGGCTTCTCCCAGCCGGCGCCCCCAGTGCAGCCTGAAGGCCGTGTGCGGCCAGGGTAGGGGCAGCTGGGACTCCCGGGCCCATGTCCCTGGCCCCTGTGTCCGGCTGACCATCTCCCCAGCAGGGGGGGGCGGGGTGTGGCTGAAAGCGGCCCCCCAGAGGGCGAGGGCAGCTCAGCCTCACACCCATATGTGTCTGCTGGCTGGGGAGGCCCCCCAAGTCTCAGCCCCAGGGGAGCGGCTTTGCCCCACCCACCAACTCTGGAGGCAGGGCCCCACTTCCTGAGATGCCCCTGTCCCTGCACCTTCTGGGCACCCCCACCTTGAGCCCCGGGGGTCACTCCCAACTCTAGGCGAGGGGTGTCTGCGGGGAAAGCTCTGTCCCCCGCCCTGGGGGCCCCCTCAGCACGGAGGGGCTGTCCCCGTCCTGCGGGACCTGCTGTGACCTGAGCAGCCCTCAGGGCAAGGTCCCCTCCAGAGGAGCCCCTGGGCCTCAGCGGTGGCCACCCTCAGGGCCTCCCCCCGTCCCCTCCCCCTTTCCTCACGAGGGCACAGCAGCCACAGCCCCGCCCAGCGCCCAGCCGGACACAGAGCCCGGGTCAGGGGTCAGCTGACGTGGTCGACCTCCTTGGCAGAGGGAGGGAAGGCCTGTGGGGCAGGGGGGAGGGGACCAGCGGGGGAGGGGCCGCTGCCTCCCACCCTGTCCCAGGGGCCGTGCTCCCGGGGTCAGGTCACCTGCCTCTGCTCTGCGTGACGTCTGTCCGGTTTCACGGGGAAATAACTGACACCCACTGCTGCCTAAGGCGCGTGTTCAAGCCACACAGCAGGGGTCGCACCCACGGACGGCACGTGGCCCAGGCCGGCCAGGCACGCGGCCCCACACGGAATCGTAAACCACGCGGAACGCCGTGGGGCTGTTCTGCGATTACCGGCCGCACAGGTGTCTTCCAGGTAGCCCTGG